CCCCCCCCCCCCCCAATCCTGAATTCTCTAGCGAGTCTCAAGTGATCCCACAAGTGATCCCACCGCGTTGGGCCCATCAGTACTGAATGCAAACCATCTCTAGAGAAAGCACCTTCAATTTAGTATCTGCGGCTTCTCACAGATCAAGATCAACAAAATAACGAACTCCCAGTCGCAAAAGTTACCAAACACACAGGGTGAAATCTGCTCTTACTTTCCTGAGAGAGATTAAGCAAAAGTAAACAGACTTTGACTCTAAAGGATTCAGATATTTAAGGGACCAAATAAAGAAATGAAGTTATAAGAAGGAGATTCCAAAAATAAAGCAATCTAGGAATAAAAGACTATAAAAAAATTGCCAACCACTTTTCAGGGGGAAAAAAACCTAAAGCATCTAGAAATGAAAAAGATCACTGTTCAAATCTGAAACTTAAGGATAGATGTGTTTCGCAGCTAATTAGACTCAGAGGAAAAGGGAATTTACTAACCAGTTGATAAATGCAAAGTGAAAGATACAGAACCTGGGAAGAGAAGACATGGAGAACAAAATGAAAAGGTCTAAGATATATTTATCAGCAGTCTCAAAAGGAATGAAAGAAAGGCATTAGGGTATTAATTCCAAATTTTCCAAAAGCAAATGAAAGACATGAGCCCATACATGTTTAAAACACAACTTATAATAAGATGCAAATAAGATTCTCCAACTTTAATTGCATAATGACATTAAAGACCAAAAGCAAAGTGAAAACTTTAAAGGCACCCAGACAGAACAGGACCACTTATAAGGACATAGGGATTATAATTAGATTCTCAACAACGGCTATTGAACACAGCAGTGTAATATCTTCAAAATACTGATAAAAAACATCTGTCAATCTGGAAATATTTGCTCAGAAAATCAATCATTCAATAAGGACAGTGAAATAAGGATATATATCTACATACATATATATGTATTTTGTTTGTTTTTAAGAGTGATTTTTATTCCTTCATGGAAGGAAGCTGGATAATGATGGCCAAATGAAAGTCTTAGATGCAAAAGGGTAGTAAGTCAAGAAATGTGTAAATATATAAATACATCTAAACAAGAATTATCTGACAACAGTACCTTATATTTGGACTTAAAAAAGAACAGAACTGGGACACCTGAGTAGCTCAGTCAGTTAAGCATCTAACTTCTGCTCAGGTCGTTATCTCACAGTTTGTGGGTTTGAGCCCCACATCAGAATCCCCTGCTTGGGATTCTCTCTCTCTCCCTCTCTTTCTGCCCCTCCCCCACCAGTGCACACATGCGCGCGCGCGCGCGCTCTCTCTCTCTCTAAGTAAACATTTTTTAAAAACCCAGAACTTAAATAAGCTATCAAACCACAAAAAGACAAAGAGAAACCTTACACACACATCGCTAAGTGGAAGAAACCAAGCTGAATAGACTATATACTTTATGATTCCAACTATATGGCATTCTGGAAAAGGCAAAACTATGGAGACAGTAAAAAGATCAGTGGTTGCCAGGGATTAGGGAGTGGAGGAAGGGATGAATAGGTAGAGCACAGGGAATTTTTAGGGCAGTGAAACCATGATTCTGTATGATAACTGTAAAGGTGGATACACATCATTATACATTTGTTGAAACCCATAGAATGTGTAATACAGTGAAAACTAAACTATGGACTTTAGTTAAGAATAATAGGGGCGCCTGGGTGGCGCAGTCGGTTAAGCGTCCGACTTCAGCCGGGTCCCGATCTCGCGGTCCGCGAGTTCGAGCCCCGCGTCGGGCTCTGGGCTGATGGCTCGGAGCCTGGAGCCTGTTTCCGATTCTGTGTCTCCCTCTCTCTCTGCCCCTCCCCCGTTCATGCTCTGTCTCTCTCTGTCCCAAAAATAAATAAACGTTGAAAAAAAAAAAACTACATTCTTTAAAAAAAAAAATTAAAAAAAAATTAAAAAAAATAAAATATATGTGTTATGGGCTGAAGTGTGTCCCCTTCCCCCCAAATTCATTTGTTGAAGCCTGATTCCCAGTACCTCAGAACGTGACTGTATTTAAAGGTAGGGATCTAATCCATTTTCAAAGACATAAAGTAGCTCACACGAGAGCACAGAAAGACAGCCATCCACAAGCCAAGGACAGAGACCTCAAAAGAAACCAACCCCACCAACACTTTGATCTCAAACTTCTTGCCTCCAGACTTGTGAGAAAGGCT